AACGTCACGACCAGCCGGCTCCAGGGGAAATCGCCGAGACAAATGGAGACTCCGCGAAACAAGACCGGGAAACTCCAGCCGTACACCTCGACAAGTAAGAATTCGTTAAAGTTATCCTATAAAGATACTTTAACTAAGAATATTACTTCTCGTGGTTTTCAAGCCTTTATTAAGGGAGAGTCAGAAATTAAACCGGTACCGGGTAATATGGGGACCCTATTCCGGAGCGTTGATAAGGGTCGAACGTTCCGAGGAATTAATAATCTCTCCTAGTAGCACTGTTTAAAGGCTCCCTGTTCCCCACAGGCAAAGCTTACACCGCTGCAAAGGCTTAGGGGAAGGTTCCAGGCCCCAGAGAAGCTGAATCGGCCTCGGATAAATCCTTCTAACCCTGCTAAGTTGAAAACTGATATGGATTCAGCAGCTTCGAGTGCATGACTAAGGGACGATACATTCGATCTACCTTATGATCCTGTAAGCAACACCATCTACAGCTACTCGGAGCGGCAACAACCACTAGTACTCGAGGTGATCTGCAACGGGTGTCGCCTCCAGGCACTGGTGGACAGTGGTGCGTCCCACTCGGTGTGCGACCGCGGGACGTTGGAGAAAATCGGAGAGTCATCAGAGGAGACCCAGTTTACAGCAACGATGGTGGACGGTACGAAGCTTCCCATCCACGGCGAGTCAACACTGCAGCTGCAGATAGGGGCGTTGAGGTGGAAGCCGACGTTGCCGATCACGAACATCAAGGGACTAGATTTCATCTTGGGGCGAGATTTTCTGAAGCGGTTCAACCCCGAGATCGACTGGGTCAACTGGAAGGCGAGGATCTACAACAATGGGAGACTTGTGGAGCTGCGAAGCTTGACGGATATAGGGGATGTTCTTGAAATGACACTGGCGCGGTTCGAACGGACGGTGAACGAGAGTAACACGGGTTACTTAGCACTGGTTATGGCAGTAGCAGGGGAGGAAAAGCCGAACTCAGAGCTACCTGCAGCAATAAAGGAGTTGTTGGAGCAGTACAAAGACATCGTGCTGGATAACCTACCTGCAGGAGTACCTCCAGCGCGCACCCACGAGCACGAGATCGTGGAGGAACCAGGTGCGAAACCCGTCTCACATGCACCATACCGACATAGTCCGACCGAACTGACAGAGATGAAGAAGCAGATTGAGTATATACTGGACAGACAACTTATCCACCCATCCACCTCCCCCTACGGAGCACCGGTTCTCTTCACTCCAAAGCCAGACGGTAGTTTACGGATGTGCATCGATTGCCGGGCATTGAACAAACAGACAGTCAAGAACAAATACCCCATACCGTGCATAGACGATCTTCTAGACCAACTGCGTGGTGCGACGGTGTTTTCGAAGCTGGACCTACGGTCGGGTTACTGGCAGATCAAGATCCACAAGACGATCCACAAGACGGCGTTTTGTACCAGATATGGCTCCTACAAACACTTAGTGATGCCGTTCGGACTCGGCAACGCACCAGCGACGTTCCAGGCGGAGATGAACCACATCCTACGGCCCCTGCTGGACGAGTGCGTGGTAGTGTACCTGGACGACATACTGATATACTTGAAAACCATGAAGGAGCACGTGGAGCATCTGCGGAAAGTGTTCGAGATCTTGCAAAAGAACAAGTTCCTTGTGAAGCTGGAGAAAAGCGACTTCGCCCTGAAGAAGGTGCAGTTTCTCGGGCACATGGTGAGTGCGGAGGGCGTACACGTGGACCCGCGGAAGATCGAAGCCGTCAAGAAGTGGAAAGTTCCAAAGAATGTGAAGAAATTGCAGCAGTTCCTAGGCTTCGCCAACTACTACAACAGGTTCGTGCCGCAGTACGCTAAGATAGCAGCGCCACTGACTGACCTACTGAAAAAGGATACGCCCTATAAATGGGATACTCCTCAACAGCAAGCCATGGAGCAGCTACAGACAGCACTGACTACAGCGCTAGTACTTGTCCTACCGGATCTAGACAGAGACTACGTGGTGGAAGCAGACGCTAGTGACCAAGCAGTTGGAGCAGTACTGATGCAGGATCACGGACGCGGTTTGCAGCCCATCGCCTACCTCAGTAAGAAGCTACACGGAGCAGAACTGAACTACCCCATTCACGACAAGGAAGCCTTAGCCATAGTCGTAGCCTTCAAGGCATGGAGGTGTTACCTAGAGGGAGCCAAGACTATAGTTTACACTGACCACTGCAGCCTCAAATACCTAAAGTCGCAGCCGACGCTCTCACAACGACAGGTGCGGTGGGTGGACTTCTTGGAGACCCACTTCCACTACGACATCGTCTACAAGCCCAGGCTACACAACAAAGCAGACGCGTTGAGCCGCCCCGGACATGTAGCAGGCATCCAGCTCGACGGGATGAACCCTCTACTCAAGGGTCTATTCCAACATGGATACTCCGTGGACGCAGAGATTGCTACAGCACAACAACAGAAGCTGTTACAGTGGGAGAATGACTTAGCTACAAGAAAGGGATCGGGAAAGATTTGGGTACCGAACTATGCCCCGCTCCGACAGATCTTATTGGAGGAGTTCCACAATATGGCATACGTGGAACATTTCGGGAGCAACAAGACGTTAGTGGGAATAGCGAAGTATTACTACTGGCCCCGGATGGCAGCAGACGTGCAGCAGTTCGTCACCTCATGCAACACATGCCAGTTGATGAAGAGTAGCAAGCAGAAACAAGCAGGTTTACTTCAGCCTCTACCTGTACCGGAGCAGCCATGGCAGGTCGTTAGTCTCGACTTCATCACTGGTCTTCCTTCGACCTCACGAGGGCATGACGCTATACTCGTGGTGATCGATAAGTTCTCTAAAATGGGACACTTCATCCCGACCAACGCCACGGCTACAGCTGAAGCAATTTCTCGCCTCTTCTTCGACCGCATCATCACCATCCACGGCATCCCCGCTACACTCATCTCAGACAGAGACCCTAGTTTCACTAGTATTTTCTGGAGGGAACTCATGGGATTGTTGGGGACTAAGCTTGCGATGTCTTCAGCGTACCACCCCCAGACTGAGCGACTCAATTAGGTGGTTGAACAGTTACTGCGCACAGCTTGCAAGGACGACATCAGCCACTGGGATCAACAACTACCAACGCTTGAGTTCGCTTACAACAACGCGTAACATGCGGCCACAGGGAAATCACCTTTCTTCCTGTGCTACGGACGGGAACCACTTACACCACAGCAGCCAACCACACCGGCACACGTCTAAGCCGCACACGACTTCGTCACCACCATGCAGCAGCTATGGGAGAAGACTCAGCGACGTCTCCCCACGAAGCAGAACTCCCAGAAGCAGTATGCCGATCGACAGCGACGAGATCACTCAGTAGCGGTCTGAGATCAGGTGCTTCTTGACACATGCAACTTGGACTTGCTTCACATTCCGTCCAAGCTCCGGCCTCGCTTCTGTGGTCCCTTTCACGTTGAGGCGATGGTGACACCAGTTACATTCCGCTTGCGCTTACCTTCTACGTGGAAGCTTCACAATGCTTTCCATGTTCAGCTGCTGAAACCCTACAAGGACCCCAACCAGCAGTTCATTGGACGACAGCTACCGCCACCACCACCTGTTCTTGTACAGGATGAACCAGAGTACGAGGTGGAACGAGTTCTTGCTCATCGACGCAGACGTGGCAACACGCTTGAGTTCCTGATACGTTGGAAGGGATATGACCCATCGGAGGACAGTTGGGTTGTACAAGCTTATATGGGCAATGCTGCCGTGCTCTCAAGAATTATCTTGTCAAGCAGGGTGTATCTCACGCCACCCAGCTTTGAGGGGGGGACGTGTGAGAGTACGACGGCTTTGCTATGATTTACTAGCTTGATTATGCTTTATTATGCATTATCTAGCTTAGCTTTGCTTTATTTTGCTTGCTTTTGCTAGATTTCCTAGGTTCGTTGCTTTTACTATATTTATTATAGTTATAGGCACCGAACTCTTGCCGATTTCTCCTGTGAAAGTGCAAGCACTAAGGAACTAAGCAAAGCTATGATCACTCCTAGTAGTTCGTGCCAACCCCTGTAGTCTAGCTCACTACCGTTGTAGAGTGACTCTTTGCATGATGTGGTGAGCGTTGACGGTCAGCTTCTATTACCTTCAGATAGAAGCCGACTTTTGTACCCACTAAGTCGTTCATAGGCCGGCAGCAGCGTTAGTCACCCCCGTTGTAGAAGCGAGCGGAGCGGACACCTTGGAGACACGCCTGGCTGATGCGAGGAGACGCCATGCGGATGGCGAGTACGGGACGATCTTATTGACGATCGTCGAGTTGGGCATTCGGGCGCAGTGGGCAATAGATCACCCTTCTCGTCCTGCATCTCCTTGACCGGTGTGAAATGAAGGTGGCATCGACGATGAGGTTGACGGCGGTGCTCGAGTTAGCGGCAGTGAAGGCACGAATTAGAGGGGTGATCAAGGTTGACAATGGCCTCGACAGGAGTCAGGGGCGAGTGCGGCGGTCGACGGCGGCTGCAGGCATCTCAGGTGTTGACGTCGATGGTCGACGTCGCTCACCTCTATGAAGCAGTGGTGGTCTCTCGGTGACAACACACGTGACGGCGGGCATGATTGCACCAACGTATGGCTACTTCAAGTTCTCGCCGGACCGGATCACCGTCGCCCCGCTGCAAGGTCGACGGGGCCTCACCACCTGGAGGGAGTCGATAGAACCTCAGCTGGAGGTCGCCGGGCTGAAAGGCTTCGCCGACGGCACTACGCCCATCCCGCCCGAGGAGGATGTCGAGTTTCGCGGGGAGTTTCGTGCTGCTCACCTGCTCACTTTCATGGTCATCTCGAGGTGCTGCTCGCCGGTGGTGCAGCTAGCGCTCAGGAGCTGTCGAGAGCGACTGGATGCTGGTCACCAAGCATGGCACTTCATCCTGTCGACGTACCAGGTGAAGGACGACATGTAGATCGGACAGCTAGAGGAGAAGATGACTCACATTCGGATGGGCGAGCAGGAGTCGGCGACGGACTACTGCAACCGTGCTCGACGGATCCTGGCTGAGATGCGGATGGCGGGCGCCGAATACTCTACGGCGTCCTACATCACCCATGTACTCAAGGGCCTGCTACGCAGCTACAACCTCATGAAGCGGATGACGATGGTGCCCGGCACACGTGAGTCCCTTAACGAGGACTCTCTCACCTGCTATATACTCCAAGATGAGGCGATGCAGGAGGTAGAACAGGCCACGGAGCTCCTTCCGCAGGCACGTTATGCTGCACAAACGAAGCAGAATCGTCAGCAGGAGCAGCGCGGGAAGCCGGGCGGAGGTGGTAGCGGAGGTGGGCGGTCGACGAAGGACGTCGACGAGAAGCGGTCGACGCGGGACAAGGGCCGTGAAGGTGGTGGTCGACGGTGGGAGTGCTGGATCTACGGCGACCCCAACCATCTCTCCTTCGCGTGCCCCGACCGCGACGACAGTGACGAGGACGACTGCAAAGGAGACCGCGGTCGATCGACGAGTCGTCGCCCCCATCGAGATGCGAAGCCGCGTAAGGAGAAGAAGACGTCGAAGAAGACTTCGTCGACGAAGAAAGTCGACAGCTCCAGCGGCAAGGACCGAGGCGACAGGGAGGGGTCGTGCTCGATCGTCGGCTTGGTGGAGCCGACAGTCTCGCTAGCACCGGAGGCTGGCGAGGACTTCCAGGCGGTGGCGGCAGCTGTGCAGGCCAACCCGATGGCGGTGCTGCTCGACAGCGGATGCTCCCATCCTGATGAGGACGAAGGCGGTCTTCATCGACATGTCGCCGAGTGACAGTGTGAAGCACGTGCGCAGCTTCAATGGGGCATTGCAGCTTGTCGAGTGTAGTGGAACCGTCGCTCTGCAAGGGGAGGCTGGGAAACGGGTCCTTATCCCCGACGTGCTCTACGTTCCGGGAGTACAGGCAAACCTGCTGTTAGCTGGCCAGCTGAAGGAGAGCGGAGTGCAGCTTCAGGGTGATGGTGACGAGATGCTGCTCGTCGCCGCGACCGGGGAGGTGCTCGGTCGAGCAGTCTTCTGCACCGGCCTTCGCCCCTGCTGGACGCGGTCGCCGTCGACCGAGGTGGTGGCTCTGCGGACAATCGCCTCAAGCGACGAAGATGACCCCCAACAGGATGCACGTGCGGCTCGCCCACGTCAGCGTCGACACGATCAAGAGCTCGGCAAAGCATGAAGTTGCTCCTGGGCTCGACATCATGCCATCGACCAGAGCGGACCCACCGTGCGTATCGTGTGTCAAAGGAAAGCTGGCACGGCACACCTTCCCCGACAAGGGCTCGGACGCCGAGGAGGAACTGGATGTCGCGCACATTGACTCGTGTGGGCCATTTTGGGTTGCTGCAAAGGATGACAGCTTGTACTTTCTGCTGCTAAAGGATCGCCACACTCGTTTCGTGTGGATAATGTCGGTCGCTAAGAAAAACGACGTGCTGCGGGAGTTTCAGAAGTGGCTAATGCTGGTGGAACGGCAGACAAAAAAGTCGGTACTATCGCTTCGCTCTAACCGCGGAGGGGAGTTCCTCGGGCATGATTTCGTCACATTTGTCAACGGGAAGGGCATCGTCCACGACCTGACGTGCCCCTACACTCCGCAGCAGAATGGCATGGCTGAGTGGGAGATGCGCACGGTCGTCGAGTCTATGTGGACAATGCTGCTGAACATGGGCATGCAGCACCACTGGTGGCACCTCGCTCTTCGACAGGCTGTCTGGGTGCGCAACTGCTTGGAGCGGTCGACGACGCCGCCGGGGACGACTCCGTACCAGCTGCTGACCGGGAAGAAGCCCGACCTCACGCTGGCGCGGGTGTGGGGCTGCATGGTGCAGTTCATGGTTCCCGATCAGCAGTGCGGTGGGAAGCTAGCACCGAAGGCTCGTTGGGGGCTTCACCTGGGCGTGTCGCCGGAGAGCAAGGGCTGGGAGGTGCTCGACCTAACCGATAACAAGGTGGTCACGTCGGTCGAGGTGATCTTCTACGAGACGCTGTCGCTGGAGGTGTGGAAGGCGAAGTATGGACCGGGATCGGGGGGACACAGACGCACCCGCCGACGGACACCGCGACGGCGACAAACCCACTGCTCGCTAAAGTCGACGAGCCTGCTGATGAGGATGTTGTGGAGGTTCCTCCACCTCCCCCTGTTCTTGCTCCTCCCTCCCCCGTCGCAGATCGGCTTGCGTCGACACCTGTGTTGGCCACCGGAGATGAGGGGAGCCTTGAGGCATCGCCTGTGGCGCCGGCAAGTGGCATTGCCGGCGGGCGACAAGGTGCCAAGCTCGTCGACCAGGACCGGAAGTCGACGACAGGGGAGCAGCAGACAGGGGAGCTGGTCAAACAGGAGGCAGCAGCACAGGGGCAGTTGACAGGGGAGCAACAGCCGGGGCGGTCGACAGGGGAGCTGTCGAAGTCAGCAGCAGGCAACCAGCCGGTCGACGGGTCGAAGCAGCTGGTCAACGAGGCAAACATCGACGAGGAAGGGGAGCTGTCGGCGGGAGAGGAGTCCACCGACAGTGATGTGGTGGAGGTTCCGGTCGAGAAGCCTGCGCCGGAGCTGCGACGTTCTGGTCGAGCTCGACGGCCGCCGGAGCGGCTGAGCTTCCACGCCTGCCTGCCACCAGCTGCCTTCACCACTGTTGTACGACGAAGCCAAGGAGGATAAAGAGTTGCCGGAGCTCGACCCCGACGTGCATGCCGACCCCGAACACCGCTGGGACATCGCCACGATGACGGTGAAGGAGGCGTTGGCGAGCTAGAAGTGCAAGGCGGTAAAGGCCGCCATGGAAGAAGAGATCCGCAGCCTCATCGGCATGGGCACTTGGGAGCTGGTCGAACGCCCACGCGGAGTGAACATCATGAAGAACCGGTGGGTGTTGACGACCAAGTACCGCATCGACGACACCGTCGAGCACGAGAAGGCGAGGCTGGTCGTGAAGGGCTTCACGCAGGTATACGGCGCCATCTACGACGAGACGTACTCACCGGTGAGCAGCTACGTCACGCTGAGGATCTTCCTCAGCATCGTCGCCGTCCTCGACCTCAACCCGATGCAGCTCGACATGAAGAACGCTTTCCTGTAGAAGCTCGACAAGGTGCTCTACATGTACTTGCCAGACTACTTAGACAATGGGACCGGCCGGGTGTGTAAGCTGCTGAAGAGCCTCTACGGGCTGAAGCAGTCGCCGCTGCTGTGGTACAGGGCTCTCGACGGAGTGCTGCAGGAGGCTGGGAGGAAGAAGAGCCAGGTCGACACGGTGCTTTACTTCAAGGCCGGCGGCGACGGGGTGACCTGTTGGGTGCTGGTCTACGTCGACGACCTGCTCGCCACCAGCAGCAGCACCGTGATGCTGAAGGAGCTGAAGGAGCTGCTGAAATCCTCCTTCGAGCTGCAGGAGATCTCGCCGGTGGTGAAGTACCTTGGGCTGGAGATCGTGCGCGACAGGCCGGCGAGGAAGCTGTGGCTGCACCAACAGAACTACGCCGACAAGCTGCGTAGGCGCTTCATCGACGAGTAGCGAGGTGGGCGCATCCCGAAGATGCCAGTCTTAGTCAACGCCTACGCCGAGCTGATATTCGACGACGAGGAGGCGCAAGAGCGCGAGGAGGAGGAGTACCGGCAGAAGGTTGGCTCGATTTAATTTGCAGCGATGACGACGAGGCTGGACATTGCGTTCGCCTGCAGCAAGCTGGGGAGCGGCCTCATGGTGAGGAGCGACCAGCATTGGCGCGAGGTCGACCGCTGCCTCGCCTACCTCGCTGACACCTGCAACACCGCCTTGGAGTTCGACGGTGGAACAGAGTCGCTGGAGCTCATCAGCTACGTGGATGCCGACGACGTGGGCGACAAGCAGAACCGGATGAGCACGGGCGGCTACGTGTTCGTCTACGGAGGGGCCGCTGTCTCCTGGTCGAGCTCACGAATCAAGTGCACGACACTTCATCGACCGAGTCGGAGTACGTGGCGGCCATAGATGTAGGCAAGGAGGGACGCCAAATTTGCTTCCTTTGCGGAATTCAAGCTGCTCGACGCTGGGAAGCCGACCACCTTCTGCGTGGACAACAATTCGGCAATCACAGTCGCTGAGGGCTTGGGGTTGACGGGCAATCTCAAGCACATGGAGCGACGCTACGCCTGGCTGCAGCAGATGGTGAAGCGCGGGAAGTTCGTGCTGAAGTACATCCCGACCACCGAGCAGCCGGCCGATTTCCTGACGAAGGCGCTGCATTTTCCGGCTTTCAACCGGTGCTCTGTCGCCATCGGCCAAGTTCGACTGACTGGTCGACGTCGGCGACGACGAGGTGCAGCAGTAGGTGCCGTGCCCTTTTGCACGACTAGTGCGGTGACGGCGTGCTATGTGTGGGGTGCACGCCGAGGACGAGTTTTCTCCGTGGAACATTGCGGCGTCGGCTGGAGGCCCAAGCGTGAGCGCGGCAGGGGAGTGTTAACGGGAGTAGAGTTTTGGCCCCGCCCTCGCTTGGGCAATGCCGACGACTTGGTCGAAGCCGACCGTTCGCAGTGAAGGAGCTGCTCGACGGGCTTCGTCGAGCTGCAGGGTGTAACTGCGGAGAATAGGCGATTGTGGGAGAGCCTAGGTGCAAAGTTGAACGATCAGAGAGTGAAGTGCGAGGTTTGCGATATTGAATCGCTGGAAAACGGATACTGGTATTTGGAAAACAGTATGCTTGGTATGCAGTATCGAAAGGAAAGTAATTGATTAATTGATAGATTACAACATGAACCTTATAGTGATGCATAGTGACATGTGCGAGAACGTTCTATGAGAACATTGGTCATGACGAATGTTGTTCAAGGAGAACGTGGAAGCACCTACTCTAGTATGCGGTTCCAGGTTGGCACCGCCAGGTGAAAACGCCATCAGGTGAAATACCGTCAGGTGCATTTTCTACCTGCCCAGGAGTAGTTGCGCAGGTGCTCGCAACAGACAGCTGCACATACTCGTTTGTGCAATGTCGTCACTTCCCTCCAATTCGGTTCAGTGTTGAACAGTGCATACCGAAGTGCACAGATTGGAGTGTACTCGGCGAATACCGAAGCTCCGGTATGATGTATGCGAAACCTCGCTACTCCGCGTAAGGCTGCTACACGCAAAACCAGGCGCATGCAGGGCTTCGCCTTAACACTCCCCTGCCCTGCTCGTGCCTGGGCAACTGAGGAGTTAGCACACCACACAGAAGCGAAAAGGAAATAATAGAGTACAACAGGGTGACGATCCTGATACTCGTCCGCGTGTTTACCGCACACGCATACTCACCCCACCACCCATGTTGAAGGACATGGCACCTAATCTTGAGCGTTTTCACGCTCGTCGTCGTCAAGATCAACTTGCCTAACAGTGACAGAGCAGCGCTTGAATGCCGGGGAATGAAGCGCCTTCGTCAGATAATCCGCGGGTTGCTCGCTCGTTGGGATGTGCGTAAGCGCGATCTTCTTGCGCTTCAGCATCTGCTGCAGCCAGATGTACCGCCGCTCCATGTGCTTAAGACTCCCCTTAAGCCCCAACCCTTTTGCAACCGCAATCGCAGATGAGTTGTCCACGTGGATGACGGTTGGCACTTCAGCATTGAGAATCTGAAATCCAGCGAGAAGAAAGCGCAAACGACATGCCTCCTTGCCGGCCTCCATTGCAGCAATGTATTCTGATTCCGTTGAGGACAGCGTCATGCACTTAATCCTCTGACTTGCCCGCGAAACTGCAGCTCCACCAAGCACGAAAACGTATCCGCTGGTACTGCTGCGAATCTGCCTGTCATCGGAATCCGCATACCCCACCAGGCGCAGAGTATCCAGTCCACCACCAAGGGCGAAATCACGGGTGTTCACCACGTAGTCAATGCAGAGGTCCACCTCCCTCCAGTGCTGGTCACTGCAAATCGTCAACCCCGAGCCCAACTTGCTGGATGCGTACGCAATGTCGGGACGGGTCGTGGTCGCGGCAAACTGGAGCGAACCCAGTTTCTGGCGGTACTCTTCCTCTTCACGCGCTTGGTATTCTTCGTCATCAAACGTCAACTCGGTGTACACATTAACCAAGATGGGCGTAGCTTGTCTCCTCTTCGTCCATAAAGCGGCGACGTAGCTTGTCCACGTATCCACTTTGGTGCAGCCACAGCTTTTGTGCAGACCTATCCCGCACTATCTCCAGCCCCAAATACTTCTGCACGGGAGTGATTTCCCGCAGCTCAAATGCGTTTTGCAGAAGCTCCCGGAGTTCCTTCAGCATCTCGAGGCTCCTACTCACGGCCAGCAAGTCATCAACGTACACCAGCAGCCAGCAACCGACTCCATCAGCACCGAACTTGAAGTAGAGCGTTTCGTCAATCTGACTCTTGCTCCACTCGCTGCCAATGAGTATGCTGTCAAGCGCCGAATACTACAGCAGTGGACTCTGTTTGAGTCCGTACAAGCTCCTCAGAAGCTTGCACACGCGAGATGTACTGTCATTTAAGTACTCCGGCTGCTCCATGTACAGAACTCGGTCCAACTTGCTCTGCAGGTATGCGTTTTCCATGTCCAGCTGCATGAGATGAAGATCGAGTACCGCGATGATGGAGAGGAAAATTCGTAGCGTAACGTAGCTGCCGACCGGTGAATAGGTCTCATCGTAATCCGCACCATAGATCTGCGTAAATCCCTTCACGACGAGACGTGCCTTTTCACGGGCGACTGTATCGTCGGCGTTGTACTTTGTCGTAAGAACCCACCGATTCTTCATGACATTGACGCCGCGCGGACGCTCGACCAGCTCCCATGTGCCGTTGGCAAGAAGACTGCGCATCTCCTCCTCCATTGTTGCCTTCACCGCCTTCCCCTTCTAGCTCGCAAGCGCTTCCTTGACGGTCATCGTGGAGATATCCCACCGTCGTTCAGGGTCAGCGTGCATATCGGGATCCAGTTCCGGCAGCCTGGTATCCGCGTTGGCGTCATCGAGAAGCGTGTTAGCGAATACCGGACACACATCGGCCCACTTCTCTGGAGGCAAACCAAAGTTGGAGCGGGTGGAGTGCCGTGTCGGCAGCTTGACTTCCACCACATCGCTCGAAGAACTGTCTCCAAGCGACTCCCCTGCAGCTTCGCCGATGACCTCCACAACGTTGCTCGACGAGATGTCGCCGATCTGCTCCCCTGTCAACCGCTCCCCTATCACCTGCTCCCCTGTCATCTGTTTCTGCACACCAGGTGCGCTGTTCTCGGAAGATGCAGCAGGTCGACCGTCGACGATGCCGATGCGCGGCGCCGAAGCTAGACGGGGTGTCGGCGGTGGGACGAAAGAGGGTTTCTGCAGCCGGTGGCGGAGAGGAGATGACGGTAGGCGAGGAGGAGGTGGACGGTTTGGGGACCGGTACCACACGTGGGTACACTAGCGGGAGGGTAGAGCTGGGGATGGATGTGGGGACGTGTGGAGGTGCAGGAGCTGAAGTCGAGGCGTCAAGCGGATCGTCGATCTCATCAGCGAGAAGACCCTGTGAAGGGGCGGAGACCGTCGAAGTGGAGACCTTGTGGACACTCCCTGGCGCACACTCGGCTTTCGAGTTATCCAGCGATTAGGTTTCATAGAATATCACCTCCACTGTGGTAACGATGCGGTTGGCAGCGAGATCCAGCACCTCCCAACCTTTGCTCGCAGGAGAAACGCCAAGATGAAGACCCCAGCAGGCTTTTGGCGCAAGCTTCCCACCGCGCTGATGTTGCGGGACCATGTATTGCACCATGCAACCCCACACCCGGGCCATGGTGAGATTCGGCTTCTCTTTGTACATCAGCACATACGGTGTTGCTCCCGAGGGCGGAGAAGCGCGCTCAATGCTGTTGCGCACCCACACAGCTTGGCGAAGCGCGAGATGCCACCAACGGTGTGGCACGTTCATGTGAAGAAGCATGGTCCGCACCGCTTCAACAAGTGTGCGCATTTCACGTTCGGCCATACCGTTCTGCTGCGGAGTATACGGACACGTCAGATCGTGGACAGTGTCGTTCTTGTCGAGGAAGGCAGTGAAATCGCCACCCAAGAACTCCCCTCCGCAGTCACATCGGATCATCTTCACCGTCAGCTTCGTTTGGCGCTCCACCATCGTCAACCATCGTCAAATTTCTCTAAAGCGTCACTCTTCCGCGTGAGAGGATACGTCCATACCTTAGTTGGTTCTTTACGTTTACGTGTACGTTACGTACGGTTACGTTTTCGTACGTTACGCACCTCCCGAATTATGCCCTTATGTACGGTCAGGTAAAAACTTTTTCTGTGCTGCCCCATTTGACTCGTAATGTGCATAAACGAATAGTCTAACATCACGTCTTTACTAACACTACTACGACCTAGACCTCACGCGAACAATGGCAAAAAAAGTGAAATCGAGAAATTTTTGTACCTGCCCGGAGTAAGTAAACGTAAGTACATGTACGTATGCATACGTGTACGTTTACGCGTACTTTACGTGTACGTGGGCCTCTAGGACGTAAATGACCAACTTAGGTCCATACGAAGCGCGTTTTGCGATCTTTCTGGAGAAGAAAGTAGCAACTTCCGTCCTTGGCAGCAACTCGAAAGGGTCCGCAGACATCGATGTGCACAACATCCAATGCGTTTTCGGGTTCAGAACCCTGGTCGGGGAAGGTATGCCGAACCAGCTTTCCGCCAACGCAGGAAACGCACACCAGGTCCGCGCCAGCCGATGACGTAATCTCTAAACCGGCTGCCGTGCCATGTGCAGCTGTGCGCTTGATCGTATCCATCCCCGCGTGCGCAAGTCGTGCATGCCAGATGTCCGTTGACGACCTCGTAGATGACGCAATCGTCCGCAAAGCGACCATCTCCGTTGGCGGCGCTGTTGGCTGTTGCGATGAACACGGGCACAGGTCGGTGTAGAGGACGCGGCTGGTGTAGCGCGCACGACCGAGAACAGCTCTCTCAGCAGATACGAGAAGCGTCTCGTGCGCTTTCGTGCTCCCCAG